ACCAACGATGACGGAGATGCAGGAATAGAGAGTCATTCCTCTCAGCCACAGAAGCTAGCCGAAGCGGAGTTCGTCGAATTCCACCCAGGTAGGCATCTCAATTTTACTCCTCCTTCGAAGGTCTACACCATGGCAGAGCTCGGGTACCCCGAGCGACGTGGTATTTCTCCTGTTGGCGTCTCCGAACCCTTCCCAATGTTCTCTACCGAGGCCATTCAGATTATGAGAAAGGAAGCGCTTGGAGACGAAGTCTTTGCCAAGTATCACTACTCCGGCGATCTTGCAAAAGGCCAACTCAGAGGCTATGCTGCAGAGTGAGTTTTGCAATGTGTTCACTCACTTCGAATCGTGCTCTGACCATAACAGGTGTGCCCCGTTTGTGTACGATGCCTGGAAGCATCCTCAGACTCTCGCTATTGTTTCTAAAATTGCCGGCGTTGATCTGGTTCCCGTTATGGACTACGAGATAGGACATATCAACATTTCCGTCCAGAGCGAGGAGGACAAAGTCAAATTTCTCGCAGCAGTGGTGGAGACGAAGAGTCAAGACGCCGGCAAGAGTGTTCCTGACGGCTCTTGGGAAGATAAGGATCCGATCGTGGATTGGCACACTGACGGCTATCACTTTGTCTGCGTGGTAATGCTCTCGGACTGCAAGGACATGATTGGGGGAGAGACAGAGCTGAGAAAAGGCAACGGCGAAACGATCAAGATCCGGGGCCCCAAGATGGTAAGTCCAGTGTTTCGTGAGGGGTACAAACAAGCTTAACCAGGTTCATCAGGGTTCGGCAGTAATCCTCCAGGGACGATACATCGAACATCGAGCCCTCCACGCCCTGGGTATGACCGAGCGGATCACCATGGTGACCTCCTTTCGTCCACGGTCTCCGGCGATTCCCGACCACACGGTACTGACCACTATCAGACCGATTTCTGCCCTTGGCGAGTTGTATCATCAGTTTGCAGAGTACCGCTTTGAGATTCTTGAAGATCGTCTCAGGGGAGTCAACAAGTACATGCAGGCCCGGAAGCGTTCAAACCGCCGCTTCAACACGGGATACCTGAAGCAGTTCATTCGTGAACAGATCGAATTCTTGGAGCACATGGACAGAGAGATCGTTGAAGATGACAAAGTCATCAAAGGCGTGACTGGCGACAGCCACCTCATTTCAGAAGATCTGAAGCTGAAGCACTCCAAGAAAAGTGAGCTCTCTGCGGCACAGTAGGCTGACGCGGGAGTGGAACATGCACATATTCCCATTGTCATTAGGCTCCAAGCCCTCAATTTCCTGTGTCGCCTTCAACACTCGGGGGCAAGCAGCTTTAAGACAGTTTCTCAGTAGGTAATTGGGTCTAGTCTTTCGCGTTCTCTTTCTTACTCCCAGCTAGTACTGCGGATTGCAACGCTCCCGGGTCCTGGGTGTGTGGGGATTCGCTGATCTGTGCTTGTCTCTTGTTTGGGTGTGTTGCCAACGACTTTTTCATAACAGGTGGTGCCTAATTCATGACAATATTTGCTCCAGGAAAGTCATAGTATCAAAAATTGGGATGAGTCTAAGCACGTTAGCCAATGCCAATCCGAATACAGCACGTCAAGCTGTTCCCCCAAAGTGCTGACAATACTTAGGAGGCCAATTTCAATATTATCAAATGACTACCCGGTAAGCTGGCTCAAAACAAACCTCAACATCCTACTGAGCAGCCGAGTTCGATTTTAGAGCAGAGAAACAGACAATGGCAGGCTTGTTGATGATTAGGGCTGCACAATGATACCCTTCGCCGTCGAGGAAATTATGCCTCAGCCATTTAGGAGTGCAGCATCTTGCATCTGGCATCTTATCTTATTATTCATTAAACTATTTGCTCTTTTGCATGTTCAAGGACTGAAGTGTCATTGTCAATTCAGAGGCCCACACTGCTATTATTGGATAATAGGTGGCATTTTTAGGCCAGGAACATAAAAGCGGAGACAATCAGACCAACACATGAAGATAGGTCAAAGATGATTGACTGTTGATTGATGGATTGTGAGGTGTCGAAACAGGCCGTTGAGCCATCACGTCGAGTCCATTTAAATGCCAGTCAGGTGACCTGCCGCCTATTGTCCAACGCGGTGTTTGTTCAGTTTGCGCGCGGAACTTCCGAAAAAGAAAGTCATGCTCACGTCGCCCTGTCCTGGCTGAGGACCGTGGTTTGTCGACCACGACTTTTCCTTCTTCATTTCTTCTTCTGCTTCTGCTTATCCTTTTCTCAAGTCTCCTTTTCCCTTCGCTTTCTTCCCAGCTATTCTATCGTCCAATATTCACCGGGACGAATCATCGAATCCTCGAGGGCTCGTCCCGCGGTTCGCCATTGCGGTCTGACCTCCGGCCCTTCTATACTTCAGATAAAAAGGTGGCTGCCGCGTTATTGAAGCTTTGCCGACAGAGAATTCCGAATCTTGCCACTGTCGCAGTATTTACAATTTCGCTGCTCGCACTGTTGTCCGCATCTGTGTTTCCTTGTCATTGCAGGGGTTTTCGGAGCAATATCGACATATATCTCCTCCTGGGGAGAGTATTATCCCGTTAAGCAAATGTCGCCATCTACTACCGCGGGAGCCAGATCCACCAACGGCCCCGATAATGTGAACTCGACTAACTCGATAAATGGGATGGGGGACGGTGCATCAGGTGTAAGTAGACTGAATTTGAAATTTACCCACTGTTTTCGCCAGGACGATGCTAAAACAGCCTCGCACAGCTCCTTCAAACGCTGCAGGGACATGTAGACGACATCAGATCTCTCTTACAATGCGGTATATGTGTTAAGCCACTTTATGAGCCTTTCACAATCGCCTGTGGGCATACCTTCTGTTACAGTGTTAGTTTGGCCAAGTTACAATTTCCCATTATTCGGACGAAATATCTGACATTCGGGATAGTGCTTGTCATCATGGTTTTCTTCGGGAAGGTCGAACAAAACATGCCCCGACTGTCGAGCGCCGGTAAAAGCTCAGCCTGCGCCTGCCTATTTGGTGAGCTGCTCTCTGTTTTTTGAACAATATCAACCTTCGGGACTCTTGTGCTAACATTCCGTTTCGAAGATTCGTTCAGTCGTCCAGATGTTCACGAGTCGCGCAGAGCTCCTGGATAAAAACGAGACAACCGCTCAGCATGAGCGTTCTCAGCGTGAGGAAGCTGAGAAAGTGGAGCGCGACAAAAGGAATACGCATCCAAGAGAAGGGGGGTTGTTCCGGGGTACATTTAATAAACCTATCCGTCAGGCGCCCATCATCGATGTTGAAGATAATGTCATTCGCTGTCCACGCTGTTCTTGGGAGCTTGAGGACGATGCCGGATGCGCACAATGTGGATACCTTCGAGACGATCAATCAATATCGGACGTTTCCGATTCGGTGACGGGGTGGACCGAAGAGGAGGAGAACTCTGAGATGACTGATTATTATGATGACGAGGTTGAAGTTGGGTTTGGCGGTGGCTACCGCAATGGATGGGATCTCGGTCAACTTTTTCACCATTTGACTCCCGCTCTCCGAGACCAAATTCAACACCTGCCTTCAGTCGACTCAGCTAGTCTTGACTATTCGGAGATCGATGACTACGATGACGGGGATGAGGATGCCGACATGGATTCTTTTATTGATGACGACGAACATACCGGCCGCGATTACGTCTCTGATTCGGATATATCTACTGTCGTCGGTGGTCCGGACCGTAATGGAGCCCACTACGATGTGTCACAGTTCGACACTGACTCTTCAATGTCACACACTAGTGATGATGAGCATAGTTTGAACGAGCTTACGCCAACTGGATCCAGCGTCTTAGACCAGGACGAGCAAGATGATGAACACGATGAGGACGATGATGACGATGATGAGCCTGTACGGCCGCCCGTCAACGTGAACCGTCGTCGTCGGGAACCTACGTACGATGAAGTAATAATATCAGTGCAACATGGGTCGTCACCCCCGCGTGTTTTTACCTCGAGGACTTCTCACTCGGCTCGTCGCGGTACCTCATCTCATCGGAATCAAGCGTCTACTGCGGGATCATCGGCACATAATGCGATTAGCGTGGAAGACGATTCTGACGAGGGCCCCGTTGGACCGTCACGGCGGGCAAGAAACAGAAGGGGTTGCAGGGTTCAAGTTTACTAAGCAATCCACTGTCCCCCGGATGGAGCGGTTCCATTGATGATTTTGGCTTGCGTCCACATGAATCATTCCACCGACGAGCTGCACCCTTCGGACAGAGTTGCATCCTGTGTCCACTTGCAAGGGCGCAGCGCGAATAATAAGAGGAACCATAACCATGGAGATGCTACTGTGGTGCTTGCGCTCACACCGACCATAATTTCTAATTCGATGATTCACGATTTCCGGCACTCTGGAAACATCATACAATCGATGCGTTTACCTTGTTCACTCATGGAAGGGAGTAAAAGATCGGAACAGGGTCCAGGGACATCTATTTTAGCATTCGAGGGCGTGATTTTGGCTTTATTGTTCAGGTTCATTTCCAATACCCCTTGTCGTCATTTTCAAGGCCAATTCTTAGCTGTGCTCATACTTGGTCTTCATAGCAGTTACCATAGCACTTATCCAGCGAACACTTTAAAAGAGGGTTCATGAATTCGTTGGAGTTGTCTTTATTTGTAGAGGAAAGTAAGTTTATCCAGTCGGCAAGTATTAGGCACTGCTATGAAATTTACGAAAAGGCCATGTCATGTCAGAAAAAAGCAACTCGGGCCCATATTGATGGCTGAAATTCCTGAAGGGACACTGCCACAAATAGTTTCCCTTGGCCTGTCTTCTTGTTGATTTATGTACATTGAAGGCTAGGGAACGTACCGAACGCCGGACTATTTCCCAGTACAAGAAGATGCAAACAAAACCGAAGCTGGCATACGAGCCTTTTGATACCATGAATTTCTTTTCAGTGCGTTGCGGAACTTCAATTCTGCAACCAATGCCCCATTCAGCGAATGTGTTCCAATCACTGCTTGCTGTCGGAAATAAAGGGAACTTCAAAAACCACCGCGCCGTTGCGGCCGTCAGCTGCAGAACCCTCGTGGAAATTGTTCGTAAAGCACTTCCAGCGCCCAAACCTGTGTTCCTTCCCCACAGCAGCGACGATGCAGAGACCTCGGGGCTCAAGCTCGGACGACTTGATCTTGGACTTGGACTCGGCCGGGCCTTGGCCGGGTTTGGCCGTGTCGGCACGACGCTCAAAGACGGCGATATCATTAATGACACCCTTGATGAGAGGCTCGGCTTCGTCCTTGGTGTCCTCGGTGTCCTCGGTGGGTTGATTCTGGGGCTCGTCGACGGACATAGTGTCTGCGTCGGTGGCGGTGTTAAGCTCCAACGTTTGTTTGAGCTGACGAGACGGCGTGTCTGGTGCAGCGGATCCGAGCTTCCCTCCGCCGACGGGGCCAAGCGGTATGATTGTCCTCTTGTCCTCCGAAACCTTCCAGGCTCGGATGAAGCCGTCCCAGCTGCCGCTAAGAACGATGTCGGTGCCGGGAACTGTTGCCAAGGCTGTGATCCAGCGGGGCATGCGCCGCAGGAAACGGGAGTTTGAGTCTGCAAGTTTCTGATCGACCTCAGCTGAGAGCTCGTCTAGTGGCGGTAGAGGGTCTAAGCCGTGAGCGCATTGGATCGTGTGGAGAGGCTTCTTCTTGTAAATGGACCAGAGGGAGATGGAGCCGGAATCTGAGCCTGTGACAAAATGGGAGGGGGGTAGAGGTGCTACACAGTCGATGGTATTTTCCTGATACGTGTTTTTTGATGATCCGCCACGGAAGACCAGTTGTGTTTCTTCGACGACCTTCCACAACCGAGCAGTGCGATCGCGTGCGCCAACACTGATGCACTGATCTATAGCCATGGCGGCGACTGACGACACATTGTCCTGGTGCCCGAACAGGGTCTCAACGTAGGCATGGCCGGCCGAACTCAACGACCATGTCTTGATGGTTCTGTCATAAGAGCCCGAAAATAATTGCTCACCGGAGCTCATAGTGGAGATATGTCGAACAAAGGCGAGCCCGCTAACTGCATCGCGGTGTTGGTTGAAGGTCTGCATTGGCGTCAAAGTAGCAGCATCCCAGATGATCAACTTCCGGTCCTCTCCACCAGTAGCCACGAATTTTCCCGAAGGCGACACGGCTACTGAAAGAATAGCCTTGGTATGACCATGTTCCTCGCCGGTCTCTGCGACTTTTCTTAATCCCCGAGCGAACTTCACTTGCTTTGGCTTTTTCCGTTGAGGCCTTGCAGGTCGCTTAGATCCCTCATTCTGTCCATTTGTCGCTGGGACTGTTGCGGAAGCGTGACTCGGCATTGCGAGTTCCCACTTGATCAACGTCTTGTCTTTTGACACTGTATAAACGTAAGGCGGGTGTACTGCAATTGAAGTTGTCGACTGGGTATCTGCGCGGAAAAACGATGGCGTCGCCGTCAAAAATGCTAGCTCCGAAGCTATCTGACGATAAGAGCGCCCTTTAAATTCATCCTTTTCGAGCGTCAGCCATCTGGTATATTCGGTACGTACTTGTGCAGTACGGGTGGGTTAAGGGAGATAAAGAGGCGGTACATACCACATCCTCCTTTAGTCTCTCGGCGATCAAATCTCGATCAATCTCAGCAGCATCGAAGCCATAGTCGTCCACCTCCTCCCGCACATTTTCCAAGTACCTCTCAGCGAGTTTCAATCTTCTCTCTGCTGCCGTCTCGCCATCCTCAGACTCCGAACCACTTTCCTCTTCGGATACTGCCGACGCCACGCTCTCGTCATCATCATCCAGGTCACTGCCAGAAATAGATTGGTCTCTTTCTTTCGTCCTGCTTCTTCCCTTCGCGCCAGAATCTCCGTCCGCATCTACGCCTCGCTTTTTCGAAGCCGGAGCTGCGGCGCGGTCGTCTCTCTTCCGCTTTCGCTGTGAAGCGGGCAATGTAAAAAAGGACGACATCGCACGGTCGTGTCTGAGAATTACCGTGCAAAATTATCCGTCAATAGCAACTCTGTGATCGACAACGAAGTATTAGGGTAAGGGATGCCGGCCGTCTTTTTGTGTAGGCCGCAAGTAATAATTTCTTGTCGCTCTTTTTTTCTGCCGCTGGTCCGTGCAGCAGGCGGCCTCGGGGACCGGAGAAGAAGTTACGCCTAAATGCTGAGTAAGCGACCAGCTCCGCAACAACGCAGAAGCTCCAGGCAGTGAGAGCTCGCGCGGCTTCCAGGTGAGCTCATCAGCTTACAATCTCCATCATCCTCCGTCCTCTTTTGTCCTCATTCATCATTTTCATCTCCCTTCCTACAGCAGATTACTATCAACATGTGAGATTAGAATTCAAAATTTTTCAAGAGGTCTCAGTCTAACCGCTATTATTAGGGAGGTTCTACTAGGTATCACCGGCAAGGACTTCGTCATCCTGGCGGCCTCCAAAGCCGCTATGAGAGGGCCGACCATTCTCAAAGCAGAAGATGACAAGACACGGCAATTGAGTCAGCACACTCTTATGGCCTTTTCGGGAGAGGCAGGAGATACAGGTCCGTAGCGATGAATTGCAACCAATGACATCAACAAAGCACGGCTGACGATCGTTGTGGATAGTGCAATTCGCCGAATACATCCAAGCTAATATCGCGCTATACACGATGAGGAACGACACTGAATTGCGTCCGAATGCCGTTGCCAACTTTGTCCGAGGAGAATTGGCTCGGAGTTTGAGATCGCGGAATCCCTACACGGTCAACCTCCTGCTGGGCGGAGTGGACTCCATCACACAGGAACCTCACCTGTACTGGATTGACTACTTGTCTGCGCTTGCCCGAGTACCCTACGCCGCGCACGGTTATGCTCAGTAAGCGTCGACATTAAGGGTCACAAGTGGTCGCTGAAAGCAAGGGCGCTGACGATGAGTGTTAGGTACTACTGCTTATCGATCCTCGACAAACACCATCATCCCGATATCTCCCTCGAACAGGGTATGAAGCTTTTACAGATGTGCACAGACGAGCTCAAGCGCAGACTACCAATCGATTACAAGGGCGTACGTTCCCGATTTACAATCCAGCGGTATTGGCTTTTGCAGCATCAGCTACTGACCTGCTCCATATAGATCCTTGTAAAGGTCGTGACTAAGGATGGTGTCAAGGAAGTGGAGGTCGATAATGATAGAATAGTCAAGAGTGCTTAATTTCACACTTGGAATGACGGCGTTGTATCATACCATGATTTGTCTTTTCACTGATTTGCTTTTGAAGACCGGGATGCATGGCAGGTATTTCCCATGACTTGGGCACGTATGTAGTCTCTTGATAGGGACCAATGGAAATGACTCAAACAGTCAGATACTCTCCTGAACTCAGAATATCTGCTTGGGTAGAACGTGATAGGTCTTGAATGGGATGTGCATTGGTGACGCTGCATGTTTGACATGTTTGCACCTTTGATCTGTCGCGTCTTCCACAGCTTAGCCCAGCGATGGTTTCGGAATACCAGCTCCATCTCCGAGACTTCTCAACTCAATTGTTAATTTCACGGACCACGATGTCGAAGAGACAGGCAGAACTGTCGCTCGAGGACGAGCCTGCAGTAGGCTCTCCTGTTTCGAAGAAGGCTCGTGTGGAAGACGAATTTGAAGAAGGCGACCCCCGCAACGGAGCATTACCTTTGCGACGGGCCAGTGGCCAGGAAATGGAGGAGCATGAGCGCAAAGGACAAAATATTCTTGCAGCAGCTGACTATGAAGAGGAGGAGATGGAGGAGGCTATTCCAGAGAACGCTGAAGTCGCGGAAGTCGCCGCATCGTCCGATGTCGATGAGGACCAGCCAGTCATCGCAGCGCCGAAACGCCAAAGTGAACCTATGGAAGGCTATAGCGACCTCTACCTCGACACGATCAATCGCGAGATTCTCGACTTTGACTTTGAGAAGCTCTGCTCCGTCAGTCTTTCAAATATTAACGTATATGCCTGCCTGGTGTGCGGCAAATACTTCCAGGGCAGGGGCCCCAAGTCGTATGCCTACTTTCATGCTCTCGAAGTTGGACATCATGTCTTCATCAACATATCGACTAAGAAGGTTTATGTTCTTCCTGAAGGATATGAAGTCAAGAGCAAAAGCTTGGATGACATCAAATATGTGGTAGATCCACACTACTCAAAAGAGGAGGTTTCTAAGTTGGATAAAGAGGTTCATGATGCTTTTGATCTTGCAGGTAATCGTTACAGACCTGGTAAGTCTTTTTCTTCAATTCCTTTGGAGAATTTTTAACACGAACTAACGCATTTTGTTTCCCGTATAGGCTTCGTTGGAATGAACAACATTAAAGCCAACGATTATCTTAACGTCGTCGTCCAGGTCTTGGCTCACGTTTTCCCAATTCGCAACTATTTCCTGCTGCATCAATTTCCTGTACCAGGCACGCCGGAGTTGGCCCTTCGTTTCAGCACATTGGTACGCAAATTGTGGAATCCCAAGGCTTTCCGCTCGCATGTTTCGCCACACGAGTTGCTGCAGGAGATTGCGCTTCGGTCATCGAAGCGCTTCACCCTTACCCAGCAATCGGATCCAGTAGAATTCCTCTCCTGGTTTTTAAACAATCTACATTTGTCCCTAGGTGGTTCGAAGAAACCATCGTCGACCCCGACGAGTGTGATACAGGCTGCTTTCCAAGGTCACTTGAGAATTGAAAGTCAAGCCATCACTGCGCATTCAGATACACAAAACGCTCGTCTGGTCTTCACCGAATCAGGCACTATCAATAGCCAAACCACCCCGTTCCTCATTCTAACTCTGGATCTTCCGCCAACACCCCTCTTTCAATCCGCGAACCGAGAATCCATCATCCCCCATGTTCCTCTCACAACTCTTCTGAACAAGTACAACGGTATTACTGCCTCCGAGAAGCTGGCTCACCGTGTCCGACATCGCCTTCTTCATCCTCTACCCCCCTACCTCCTGTTCCACATCAAACGATTCAGCAAGAACAGATTTGTGTCTGAGCGCAACCCCACTATTGTCACTTTCCCGTCGCCGCGCTCTCTAGATATGTCGCCGTACGTGGAACCTAACCCGGAGATCTGGCCACCTGGCGAACCGATTCTATATGATCTCGTTGCCAACATTATCCTGGATCCAACTGTGGCAGCACCAGGTGCCGCTGAGGATGCTGCAGAGAAGGGCATCACCGCTGCGGGGGGAACATCGTCGGCTGGCGCCGGTGCTGGCAGCGAGAGGGTGGCCTGGCTCGTCCAGCTCCACGACAAGGCCATGGCAGAGGAGAACAGACGGCATCAAAGCCAAGGTGTCGGGGAACAGCAAGGACCTGAATGGCTGGAGATCCAAGATCTATTTGTCAAGAAGGCTGAGAGCGAGACTCTGTTTACGCGGGAAGGCTATCTGATGGTTTGGGAGCGTCGAAAGATCCCTGGTATGAATAATCGGAAAGCCAAGGGCGCTGCCAAGTGAGAGACGAGCGCCCTCGCTGTGTGAATGGCATTGGGATCAATATAACTCAGTGGTTTATTCCAAAAGCATCAGCTGTTGTAGATCAAGTTGCATGTGCAAGATATACTGATACAGCACTCGTTTGGGGGGATACTATTGTACAACTAGATGTGATGATATAACGATGGTGATAATGTTCCGTGTGGTTTATTTTTTGCTCTGCCAGTATGTAGGACACTGGAATGAAAGCTATCATGTCATCGGTCCATATGACGGTTTATACCCCGGTGCACTCCCCACATACAAGGGGGATTAAAGTCAGGCCATGCTTGTCGATCGCAAAGTGACAAGCCAATCATTAAAATACGCTCATAATTTTCCCCAACCACAGAATCGCTTGCCGATCCTGATTGCGGCGCCTGATATCACACCCCACACACTTGCATTCACTGCGGCTTGCAAGCCAACCATGAGGGCCATCTTGCCCATATATGCCATTATATCAGAGGAAGAGCCACCTCCGCCCCATGCTCCGAGGGAACGGACGTCGGAACGTCGAGGGGACCCTACGGATGACAGATAGGAAGAGGCGAGGGAACGCAAATAGTATGACTCCAGGGGGATGAAAAGCGCAGTGGTGACAATAGATGCGAGGTGTGAAGCAAGAGAGTCGACTGGATGACAGGAAAGGATCGTGACGCGGTGTGGGACAGAGGAAGCGTCCGCTGTCATCTCCTCGGAAGCGAGAGCGTCTACGAGTGGCGGTGGCAGCTCCCCATCGGAAGCACCGGCATGAAGGGCGTCCGCGTCCGAGGTCGGCTCAAGATTGTCGTCCTGGCTTGGCCCTTCCACGCTGTCTGGTAAGATGTTGGCGAGTGTTGAGACCGGCTGCGTGGCGGGAGTGTCATGCGTAGGCTGCTCATCTAATGTATGCTGACCGTGATCTTGATCGTGTAATGGAATAGTTGACGCACCGTCTCCGGTTTCAGGAGACAGTGCGGCGGTCATATTAGAAAGTCCATCGCTATCTACAGCTTCTGAGCCAGCTAGCGTAGCGAGACTTTGCCCCTGATTCGCTAGGAGATTGTCCAGGAAATCCTGGATTGACCTACGGTCTGCTGGCGCTCCATTGTAGTCGGACCGATCAATTTCGTTGGCAGTTCTTGGATTCTGTGGACTCTGGTTGTGCGCATTACGGTTTCCCAAGACTTCTAGCTGCATGGTGATCACGTCTGAATTCTGATGGATTAAAGATGCCCGGACACGTGGCGAAGTTGGAGGAGATGTTGCAGGAGACGACTGTCGAGATAGAAGGGTATCGGATCGTGAGTTGAGCCTGCTCTGAGGTTGCTCAAAGGCGCGATGAGTATCTGCCGACGGGTTGGATGAATCTGCAGCAGAAGGAATGGTGGTCGGTCTCCCTAGTGTGGCTGCCTCCAAGGAGAAACCTGTGCTCAACTCGGCGGGCGACAGAGAAATCGGATCATCCTCACTGGACAGGACCCGGTTCTCGTTAT